GTATGTATGTACGTATGTATGTATCTGTGAAGAAAGTATGTGCCATTAGTTCACCCTTTTGGCGATAAGCTGCACACGGGTAAATTTATATAATTTTATCATTGCATGAAAGTAAGGAGTTTTAAACTTTAAAATTGGCATTTTTGGAATTACATATTTTGATAAAATGTATATAACGCGAAGTAGGTTCCGTAACACTGTACGACGAAACCAAATGTTTCGGTAATTACAGAAAAAATCCAACAGAATATGAAAATAGAGCTAAAACAAGTTAAATAGCATTAGTTTGTTTTGCCGGCAGGTGTATACTCTCAGCCAATTTTCAATTTATGATTATTCTGTTGACCCTTTATGGGGGAGGTTCCGAAGCAGTTTCCCAATATTATCCAATACGTATCTGACCTAATTCGGATATAAATATAACAACATGTCATGAGATATGTGAAAATTTTGGAAAATGTGGAAATATACGTGAGGTACCATATATAGTGGACCGTGTTCAAAATTTAAAGGAAATCGAACATTTATATCCAATTTTACACGAAATTATAAATTCTGATTAAAATATAATATATTCATATCAGATTTATGGCTCAGGAAAATATTTAGATATAGCAAGTTGAATAATACGCCGAATTGTTTCGAGCGTTTTGTTTTTCAATATTTCGAATCCTTTGTGGGGGAAGTATCAAAAAGTAAACGCCAATACATCCCATTTTCACAGCAGATTTTGTGTTAGTAAAAATAATGGCATGTGTGAAATTTGAAGAGAACCTGAAGCTTATTTTGGATTTTATGATCGTTTTGGTTATTTACAATTTTGACCCTTTACCAGAAGAAATGGTCTGAATGGCGTTTAATTGCGTTTAATGAGTTTTATGGATATAAAAAAATTGTGGGGGAGATACCAGAAGGAGTGGGCCGATCCCATTTTCACAGCAGATCATTTGTTAGTAGAGATAATGAGATGTGTGAAATATGAAGAGAAGGGGATGTATATTTCGGATTTTATGATCGTTTTAGTTATTCGAAACTTTGACCCTTCGTGGCGGAGGAACCAGTAGAAAAGGTCCGATCTCGACCATTTTTACAAAAGATCTTTGGTTGGTAGGAATATTGAAATGTGCCAAGTCTGAATGGAATCGGATGTTAATTTTGCGTCTTATGAGCTTAGTAGATATTCTAAATTTTGAACCTTTATGGGGGAGATAGCAAAAGGAGTGTACGGATATATCCCATCTTCATACCAGACCTTGGTTTAATACTAATATAGTGATGTGTGTAATTTGAAGACAATAGGACACTCGCATCACATTTTATAAAAGTTACAATTATTCAAAATTTTGATCTTTTTGGGGGAGGTACTTGATAGAGTGGACCTATATTGGCTATTTTCGCACCTTACCTAGCACTGATGCCAATATTATGATTTTTAAAGTAGGAGAAAAATTGGATTACCATCTCTCTATCTGAGCAGTAAAATAGTTTTGTTTTTTTTTTTTTTTTGAAAATTTCAATCTTTTGCGGTGGAGGTACCAAGGAGTAGACCGATATTTCCCATCTCGAAACTCGATCCAAAAGTAATGATAATATCGCGGTGTATCGAATTTGGACGTATTCGGACACTTCCTTCGAGAATTATCGTGCGCATCAACCAGACAGACAGACGGATGGATATCGCTAGATCGACTCAAAATATCCTGAAACGGATTTGGTCCAAAGAGACCTAGGGACTAAGACCTTTATTTCGGGGTAGCACATTTTGACGTTTCAAATGATATATACCCCTCTAGCTGAGGGTATATGTATTAAAATATTGGCCTACCTTTGTATATGGTCAAGGCTACGTAATATGCTTAAAAAAAATCAACAGAGAACCCGATATAAGAACCGAATAGTGTCAAATCCATCTCCAATTTTCAAAAACCAGAATGACATTTTGACACTGACATTATACAAAAAAAGTGAATTTTAAAAAAGTGCCAAAATTCTCAAGAAAGAAATGTAGAAAAGCTGTCGAATCGAACTTTGAATACCCTCCACCATTTGGAACGAATTTGGAAATTTTCAATTTTAAATATACCTAATATATCCGTTATATTGGGGTCTACACGACGTGGATCTACATAGACATTGTTTGTCAAAAGCCATTACCATATTCAAGTTCGAAACTTGAAATAAACGGTGAATAATGTAGCTAAAATCATCAAAATATCGTATATAGGGAGGTACCGTTATAGACAATTTTCTGTCACAGGCTGTAGCATACATTACGAACTTCAAATACGACATCTCAAACAATTTCAATGGGTATTGTACCTAAACTCGCCAAAGTACCGAATATAGGGAGGTACTGATATATGGGGCCTATACGAAGACCTGGACCTGCATAGACAATTTTCTGTCACAGACTGTAGTTCCCATTACGAACTCTAAGTACGTAATTTGAAACAATTCCGGTGAATAATGTCGCTAAAATCATCAAAATACCGAATATAGGGAGGTACCATTATATGAGGGCTATACGAAGACGTGGACCTGCACAGATAATTTTCTGTCTGTAGTACCCATTTCGAACTTCAAATACTAAATTTGAAACAATGCAGTTTGAAATAAATCAAAACCGTTAAAGATTCTGTTAAAATTTTAAAAATACCGAATATGGGGAGTTACCGTTGTATTGGGGTCTATACGAAGATGTGAACAATTTTAAGAAGACGTGAGCAGAAGGAAGCTTTAAATAAATCCGGTGAATAATGTCGCAAAAACATCACAATACCGAATACATAGAGGTACCGTCCATACTATGGTTGAGGGGTATAAAAATTATGTATTTTTTTTTATTTTTATACCCTATACCACTATGCTAATTTTGATTGGGATAAAAATTTTGTAACACCTCGAAATATTGGTTTCCCACATAGGAAAGTACATATGGATCTTCCTATCTCGCCGAGCTTAGTCGATCTAGCTATGTATGTCCGTTTGTCACGTTACTGGTCGCAATTTTGGACCGATTTTCACGAAATTGAAAATGGAGGTGGGGTTATGGTCAGAATAAAAGCCTAATGCTTTGAATATGATCGCATAATATTTAGGGGTTGAAATGGACCAAAAACATAAAAATTTCATGAATTTAACCTTCCTTTATGTATGGTCATGGGGTAATATTTAGTGGGTGAAATAGACCATAAATAACATTTGTATTAAATAAAACTCAATATTTTTATTAAACCGCGAATATTTTTAATCCCAGCGAAATCGCAAATAGATGAAAAGGACAATTCTGACCGTAACGTAGATGGCGAGAGTAAGTATATAAATATATACAACGTGTGTATATACGAAGGAAGGGGATGTTAGCCAGAATGCTTATATCTCAAGAATGGCTGGACCTATTTTGACAAATTTTGTTGGTTCAGAATGCCCTCTTGGCATAAAAGAATAAAACATATAATAACATATTGTAGTGTTGTAGGGTTTCACATGGTCGGCCCGCACGACTATAGCCTTTGCTTACTTGTTTACCTATTAATTTAACACGTTTCCCTTTATACTTAATTTTTTTGGGAAGGTGTCAAAGTAAAAATTATTCTAGATCAAATTTCATTGCGGGTCTCTGAAAAAAAGATACATTTCTATTTCAATCTGGAAAAGACCCCTAAGATTAAAAAAATGTAAATTTGCAGTCAATTCGTGTGAAAGATATAGACATGACACTTAAAATGCCTAAAATCTGCTCTTACAGCAATAAAAAGCTTATATGATAATTTGAACAAGTATGAAGAAATATGGTAGTAAAGCTCCCTTGTATAATTTAAACAAGTAAAAAAATTGTGGGTTCGGCTGGGCCGAACTTTGAATACCCTCCACCATTTGGAACGAATTTGGCACTTTTCAAAAAAAAAAAAAACCGTTAAAAATTCTGTTAAAGTGTTAAAAATACCGAATGTAGCCGTTATATTATTACGAAGACGGGGACATGCATAGGCAACTTTTGCCATAAGTCATTACAATATTCAATTGTGAAACTTGAAAAAAAAATTGTGAATATTGTAGCTAATGTCATCAAAATAACGAATATAGCGAGGTACCATTATATGGGGACTATACCAAAACGTGGACCTGTACAGAAAATTTTGTATCAGAGGCTGTATTATTCATTACGAACTTCAAATACTTAAATTGAAACAATTCCGGCGAATAATGTCGCTAAAATCATCAAATCGGATAGACGGTAAAGGGTAAAAAACAAGTAAAAAAGCTGTAAGTTCGGCCGGGCTGAACTTTGAATACCCTCCACCATTTGGTACAAATTTGGCAATTTTCAAAAAAAAAAAAAATTAAATCCGTTAAAATTCTGTTAAAATCTTAAAAATGCCGAATGTAGCCGTATATTAGGGTCCATACGACGACGTGGACCTGCATAAGCAACTTTTGTCACATACTATTACAATATTCAAATGCAAAACTTAAAAAAAATATGTTTATAATGTATCTAAAATCATCAAAATACCGAATATAGGGAGGTACCATGGGGGTTATAAAACCTGGACCTGCACAGACAATTGTGTGGCATTGGCTGTAGTATCCAATACGAACTTCAAATACAAAATGTGAAATAATTCCGGAAAATAATGTCGCTAAAATCATCAAAATACCGCATATCGAAGGTACCGTTATATGGGGGCTATACAAAACGTGGACCTACATGGCCTATTTTCAATAAAAAAAAGTCCTGCAGACAGTAAATTTTATCAACCTACTTCATTTCGTTTGGAAGATAGAGTGATTTCCACAGACGGACGGACATCGCTAAATCGACATAGAATTTTATGCTGATCAAGAATATATATACATTGTGGGGTCTAAAATGTATATTTCGAGGTGTTACAAACGGAATGACAAACTTAATATACACTCCATACTATGGTGGAGGGTATAAAAATATTCCGTTTATATAAGAATTGGGCTATAATCGAAATTAGAAAGAGTGACGGTTTACAAATCACCCAGATCTAAAATCCATTAATTTTTTTTATTCCACATACGAAAAATTTACAGAGCTTTTGGATATGGATTTTCCTTTATCGTTTTCCTGCCGATGATATTCTTTCAATGATTTTCGCACTCCATCCTCACTAACTGAAAACGTTGTTGTTGTTTTTGGCTTTTTTGATTTTAATTTTGAAATTTTCAATTGTTGTGATGTTCTCTGGAAGTCGGATAATGAGATTAGTGACTTTACGGGATCAAATGACCTCAGGCGCCGCATTGTTTTGAAACGATTATTTGTAGCGACGGTTATCAAAGGATCCAAATCGAATGAGTCTTGGAAACGATATTTGTTATAGCTGGTATATCGATGCACATAGTGTCCGGCATCGTGCAACTCTTGTGTGATTGTGTGCGCTGTTGTTTCATCGTAGGACAACAATGAGGATGTCACGGGGACAGCTAAGGGAAGACAAAAAGGAATTACAATTTGGAATACTGGAACTTTGGAACTTTACCAATTAATTTATATGTCTTAACCTGAATTTTATCCATTTTCTCCAAAAGTGTTGGCTCCGTATGACCTATTGCACATTTGCACTTTTTCTCATTAGGGAATTTTAAATTAAGTTTTGGTTTTAATTTGCGATCGCTATAAGGGCTACATGAAATACAAATATTCTCCTTCTTTACATCAATCGCCTGCGCTGGCGCTGAGCAATTGTTTGGCAACTGCCTCAACATGGCAATATGTTGATCCACCGCTGCAAAACGTTTTTCCAAATCTTTTTTCATTGTCGGCAAAATCATACGATCCAATTTGCAATTCAACATTTCTTGCACCTCCTGCATTGCCTCGCGTGTTGAGTGCCATTGTTGCTGGACTTCATGGCGTTTCGATTCAATGTCACCGATCAATGCCTCAACCAACTTCAATTTAGGCTCTGCCCTATCCGCAACATCATTGATTTTTCTCAATTTGTCTCTCATCACTTCCAGCCTCGAGTCGATATTGGAAATACGCTGCAACACCGGTCGTGTCATACGCCTGCGTATTTCAACATTGAATGTTGGATGTTGAGCCATGGTACAAAACTCTTTGTTATAGTCACTGTACAGCGTACACAAATCCTCTGTCGGGGAGGCATAGAAATCCCAACACCTTGAACTGTACTCATTTGTCGCACAACGTTTTCGTATTTCCGAAAAATGCTGCTCCAATTTGTCTTGCATAGATTTGGTTTGCATCTCCAGTTGCTCCAACAAATCATAATATTTTTGATAAATTTCGACATTTTGTATTCGCAGTTTAAATGGGTTTTTATTATCGTTTGAGTTTTCCAGAATCGTCCTACAACAAGGTCCATCGAATCCTGTTATCCGAACTGTTTCATTTTCACAATTTAATTTCTTCAAGAGAATCATGAATAGGTTTTGCAAGATGTGCAAATGTTCGGAGGTTATTGAGTTGCCTCCCAAGGCTGCCCTAGACAGTTCGCTTAGCGAAAATTGTAGACTTTCTTGTGATGTCATCGAAAATTTCTCTCAATAATAATTAATTTTTAAAACTAAAAAAATAATTTATAAATAGTCATGGAATAATTATCAAGGCAATCATGTGCATATTTTTTATTTCAAAATCATACCCTTGACAAGTTAAAAAGTATCTGTCGGTTTTGCCGACCCTCGGCCAATGTTAGATTATTTAAATATATTTTGACTTCGAAATGATTACTCAAATTGATGACCCTTTATGGAGTAGGTTCCAAAGGAATGTGCCAATACAATCCATATCGCATCGGCCCAAAATAAATATGATATAAATATTGCGACGTGCCACGTTTGGTACCAGATATAGTCGACCTAAGTAGTCCCCGTACGGGGCCGACATTGTGATACCCTACAACACTACATTATGTTAAAAGCCCCCTTATGTCCAAATATTTTTTGGAAGATTTCGCTTTTGAAATTATGTCATAGATTACTGTCCAGCTATTACCCTTAGCTTTTTGACCAGGGACACTTGCCAATATTTACACAATCCGCCGTGCTATTAGTTACAGCTAAATATAATCCAATGGTCATGCAAAACGCTAGACTCCTTTCCTGATCTTAACTCTCTTCTCTTTCAATTGTGTGATCAGGAAAATGTTTCTGTTGTTGGTTCATTCCCTATCCCTTCTGAGCTCCATCCTACCCTTGTGAAAATTTTCGTGAAGATCGTACGGTAATAGCAATCTGTGTATAATAACCACAATATGTGTTGTAAGGTTAAAAACTGTTACAACATATACAATTCAATATTATAAGTTAAATTAAAACAAGTAAGCAAAGGCTATAGTCGTGCGGGGCCGACTATGTGATACCCTACAACACTACAATGTGTGAGAAGCAGCCTCATGTCCAAATCAATCATTTGGACGATTTCGCTTTTGAAATTATGTCACGGAGCACTGCCCGATATTAACCTTAGTATTATGACCAGGGACATTTTCCCAATATTTATGCACTCCGTAGTGCTGTAAGTTTTTGTGGTCCATTTTACGGCTAAATATATTCCAATGGTCATCCAAAATGCCAGAATTCTTCCCTGTACTTAACTATCTTCTCAGGCGTGTCGATTGGTTTCAATTTTGTGATCAGGATTTTTTTTCTGTTTTTGGTCCAAAACCAGAGAGGCCCCTCTGTGTCTCCAAATGTAGACTCATCTATTTGATTTGCTTGTCTACGATATTTGGCTATATTCGTCAACGGAATCAGCATAAAAAGCCAGAAGTTCGCCTATTGTGTATTTCGGATATCGCCTTGTAAGTAATGTTAGTATTTTTTTACTCAAAAGTCCATTCTGGTCCATTCTACCCATTGTCCTAAACTCTAAGTTCATGCAAGATTTCGTGTCCTTTGGTTTCTATTTGTGACCTTTATAACGGATGCAAAATCAGGAACATTTTGAGTTGCTGGTCCATTTCAAACCCTAAATATATGGCGGACATCTTTGAAAACAATAGTCTTAGCCCTTCTGAGCCTAACCCTACCTTTGTCAAAAAATTCGTGAGGATCGAACGATAATTGCAATCTGTATATAAATAATAACCCCAACCTGTGTGGCAAAGTGCAAAAATATTACAAAATATACACTTCAATATTATAAGTCAAATTGAAAAAATCGCATGCGATAAAAAATATGAAAAAATAAAAATATGTCACAAAATACTACAAAATCTATATTAACATAGTTATTGGTATCTTTTTATGCGATTTTTTTAGATTTTATACTTTTATGCCAAGAGGGCATTCTGAATTGACAAAATTTCTCAAAATCGCTCCAGCCATTCTGGAGGTATAAGCATTCCAGCTAACATCCCCTTCCTTTGTATATACACATTGTATATATTTCGCTATATATATCCGATATATTTATTATCGGCATCTAGGTAATGGTCAGAATTGACCCGTTCGTCTATTTGTGATTTCGTCGGGATTAAAAATATTCGCGGTTTAATGGAAAATTCGACTTTTATTTAACACAAATGCTATGGTCTGTTTCAACCACTAAATATTACCCGATGACCAAAATTGGTAGGCTTCTGCCAAGCCCAAAGCTCTAGCTCCATGCTGACTTTCGCTTCGATTGGTATATAATTGTGAGCTGTAGAGCAACTGTAAAATTAGGAAAACTTTCAGTTTTTGGTCCATTTCAACCCCTAAATATTATGCGATCATCTCCAAAAGAAATAGGGTTCTATTCTGGCCTTAACCCCACCTACATTCTAAATTTCGTGAAGATCGGGCCATAATTGCGACCTGTATAGTGACTACAAATTAACATGGACAGACGGACGGACGGACATACATACATAGCTAGATCGACTCAGCTCGGCGAGATATGTGGGAAACCAATATTTCGAGGTGTTACATAATTTTTGGCCCAATGAAACGTATAATACCCCCAACACAAAGTGTTGTAGGGTAGGTATGGGCAATATTACAAGAATATCGAACATTTACAGGGTGAGATAAAAAAACTGCAACAAAGTCAAACGCTATCATTTTTAAATTTATTAAATAAAAGCAAACAATGTCGGAAATAGTATCAAATTTTAGAATAAGTTTAGATTTGTTCGAATTGGTCACCTCTGGCACGAATTATAACCTTCAAACTGCCAATGAAACCACACACACTCTGCCCGAATATTGCTCTGCGGTATTTTGACCCATTCCCGGAGAAGCGCTTGCTTGAGGCGATCAACAATTTGGTATTTTTTAGTGCCAAACTTGCTTTCCAAAATACTCCAGACACAATAGTCCAACGGATTGGTATCCGGAGATTTTGGTGACGATTCTGCGCTGGAAATGTAGCGAGGAACCTCATTTTGTAACTATTCTTGGGTGGCACGTGCCGAGTGCGATGGTGCTGAGTCCTGTTGGAATGTTCAAGGTGTGCGACTAAAATGTTTGCGTGCCCAAGGCTTTAATACACCCTCCAGAATATTTTCGCCATAATATTCGTCATTTATTCTGATGCCACGGTCGATTAATACGAGCAGAGAGCGATCATCGGCTATTATGGCTGCCCACACCATCACCATGACCGGCGCTTGAGTTCTGGTGGCCCACCTAAGGTGCACATTTTCAGCTAACATCTTTGACAAGTAAACACGATCATTTTGTTTGTTTACAAACTGCTGGAAAACGAATGTTTTCCAAATTCAGCAGTTCACCACTTTCGGCCAAGCGAAGCAACTCTTTAGCTCTTTTAAGTCTATTTTCTTTCTATTGCTGTGTAAGTTCTTGCACTTTTTGGAATTTCAATGGCTTTACCCCGAGCTCATTTTTCAATGTTTGCCGAATAAAATATTTCCATATGGTCAGCTCACGAGACATTTTTCGGCCACTGAGACGCGGGTTTTGATCAAGTCGCTTCTTTACTTTTCGATTTTGAACCATTTCTGCTGATGTTGCTGTTTTCTTCCGTACACTTCCTTGATGTCGGACTACGCTACCAGTATCACGGTTACGAGCGATGGTACGGGACACAAACGATTCACATTTAAATACTGGAGTGCTTTAACGATAGCCACTTGTGGTTTTTCAGCCAATTATAACAAAATCACACTATGACGCTTGAATTCCATCACGAATAATTTTTTTCTGGAAAATTCTCACCAAAATGATTTTGTACGACGCTTGTAAATGAGCTGTAACTGGAATAAATTTAAGAGCTGTCGGACGGGTGGCCTATAAATGACAGTAGTCTGAAGTTGATGGCAGTGTTTTCATCTCACCATGGAAGGAGGGATTCTTTGTTACCAAGGGACTGGTATGGTTCGAATAATATAAAGAGCTGTCACTGGAATAATTTTAACAGCTCTCGGACGACTGGCTTAGAAATGACAGTAGTCTGAAGTTGGTGGCAGTTTTTTTATCTCACCCTGTATTTAAGTACAATTTCATTACATTTGGGAGCTAGAAAAAAAAACAAGTGATTGACAGACATAACATTTTATGCTGATCACGAATATGTCTTTTGGGGTCTGAATCCGGTTTGTAGAAAATTGACCTGCATATAATTATTTATTTTTTAATTCAATATAGCCTTAACAATGCAAACGGAAATACAATTATGTAAGACTGATTAAAATGTTGTTTGCGACGAATTTCGATTTAATTGTTTTCTGAAGATTAATTATGTGAATCAAAAAAAAAAAGCGAAAACGAAAACGAAAACTATTTGTTGTAAACAAGTTTTTATTGTTTCGCGCAATCTTGTACTCGTTTCTCTAATGCTTCGTTACGACATTAAGAGCGCTTTAAAGCAATGCATTAACGTTTCTAGGTCAATATCCATTGAAGTCCACACAGAAGAGCGACCAAACCGCTTGTTTCCATCACCAGCTGCCAACATCGTGCTGTGCAGCAAACTAGGTTATCCTCTCGGTTGTTGTACTTCTCGATACAAATGCTCCTTGGAGATGCACAAGGTGGGTTGACTTTGTTGTTTTTCATTTTCTCTCTGGGCGTTTTTTCTTTCTTTCTTTCTTTCGTTCCATTGTCTCTAAATTCTTAGACAGCGAAAGTTATATTCCGTTTCCTTCATCTTTAAATTTATCCTCTTGCGAGAAATGTAAGCCATATTACAATTGCCGAACAATGGCAAAGGAGTGTAAGATGGGAAAAAAATCTCGGCCATGATGATGAGCACGATGATCATGATATACTTGCTGTCACGGAGAATTTTACCAGCTCGAATGAAAAACAACTGCATAACTCAAAGGCTGAAAAGGGAAAATATCCTTTCTTTTTTCATTCTTTTTTTGTGTTTAGCTCGAGTGAGTGACTTCTATTCCGATTGCAAAATGTCAAGGACGTGTAACCTAAATTTGTTTTTTTTTTTTTTTTTTTTTTTTGTACAGTTTTTGACTCTTTTGGAACAGAGTTAAGGGCAAAAATATTTTATGATGTCCTTTGTTGTGCACCAAAGCAGAAAATGTTCCATTTGAAATTGTCCGAGTTTTTTTTTTCGCAATTTGCCACTAAACTGCAATATAGTTTACATTTATTATTTCAAATATAT